GGAGTCTGTGTGGTCCTGGAGGGGCAGATGTAGCTAAAGGGGGTATTCCACCAGGGAATACCTCCTGGCCACTCTGTGTGCCTAGTGCCTGCTGCCCTTACCCCCAAAGTGTTCTCCCCCAGAAGTGGGCACAACGAATTTCTGGGGTGGTTGTTGATGGATTGATTCCTGGTAGGCACCTGTTCCACCTTAGAGGGAGGGCACACAGCCTGCAGGGACATACTGCCTCTCACTGTCCCCATCAAGGGGCAGCTCCCAGCCCTGGGGCTGTGCCAGTGCAGGAGGGTCTGTATGTGCGTTTGTGGGCTGTGTCACCAGGAGCTAGGCCTGGTGCCCGCGCCCTTACCGTCCTCGGTGGGCACGTAGAGGTTGAGGTACAGGCAGTCCTCGCTCTGGTTCTGCACGTAGGTGGCGGCTGCCTCCAAGTTGTCCGTGAACCACACAGGCAGCATGATGGCGGGTAGCGCCCCGTGCAGGTTCTGCGGGCAGGCGGGCGGCAGGGTGGTGGCGTTGCGCACGCCAGGCCAAGAGGCAGGGGCCTCAGGCGGCTGGAAGCGGCGGGCGCCCAGGGGTGGCGTGGCGTAGGGCACGCCCAAGAACTGCACGACGGGGCCCAGGATCTCGTTGTTGAGCTCGCGTCTCACACCGCGCACTCGCCCGTAGGCTGTGTTCACCACTGGGAAGCGCTCCTCCCCGAGGCTGCCGAGGCCCAAGCTCGGGCCTCCCGGGGCGCCGCCGCCAGGACCCCCTCCCCCTCGTTGAGCCCCCACCAGCCCCACCAGACACAGCGCCAGGAGCCACATGCTGATGGGGGACCCCCCTCCCTCCCCGGGACCCCCCCCTCGGAGAGAGAGAGAAGGGGGGGAGAGGGAGGGAGGCCCCCCTCGCCCCCGGAGGGAGGAGGGGGCGGGGAAAGGAGGGAGGAGGGGGAGTAGGGAGGGACCTAGGTTAGATTGGACCGAGTAGGGGTCTGTTCCTCTCCATGGAGGGGGTAAGGGGTGGGGAAGGGGAAGGAAGTGGGAGAGGGTGAAGGCAGGCCCGACCTGCAGGGAGGAGAGACAGGGTATGCAAGAGACAGACAGACAGACAGACAGACAGACAGAAAGATACAGAGAAGAGGTGGAAGAAGGGAAGGGAAATTGAATGGACAGGGCAGACAGAAAGGAATGGGGAAACAGAAGAGATAAGTGGTTAGAGACTTAGAATTAAAACAAATTGCCCCCTTCTTTCCACCCACAGGCCTCCTGGCACCTCCCCATCCCAACAACCCCTTCCCCATCGGCAGGGACCCGGATAAAACAGTCCGAGGTTGTAGGTGGGGTCAAGATGTGGAAAATGTCCTGGACAGAGCCAGAGGGAAGGAGGATCAGCTCCCCAGACCCAGCACACCCCCTCGCAGCTGCCGTGGCCATCCCAGGTGGGCTCTCCTCAGAGACTCAGGAGTCCCAGTTCCCACCTCCCTGGGAAGGATGAGATAGATAGGGAAGAGAAAATAAAAATACCAAGTCATTAATTAGCAGAAGGTGGCGGGTTTGTTTATACGTGTTAATTACTCCTGAGCTGTAATTTCATGGCACTGAGCCCCCAACCCAGGCCAGACTCTGGCCTTTCTTGGGAGCACACAAGCCCAGCACCTTCTTCCTTCAACTACTCAATCTCTAAGGATTTGTGAGGCCCTGAGGGGCGAGGGTCCTTTGCCTCCCAGGTCCTCTCCATTTCTTCCCTAAGAAGTTCATGTGCCTTGAGACAGGGGCTAGAGTAGGGAGGGATGCTGGAGGGGCAAATCCGAGGACAGATGCGTGATCCTGCAGCCGGTTGCTGGGCGACAGGATGCTGCCCCGCAATGTTACCTCGGCAACGGGCTGCAGCTTTAACCCTGGAAATGGGGGAGTCTAGAGGAAGAGGGGAAGGGGCCAGCATGGGTATAGGGTTCATTTAGGGCATGAGGTGGAGAGCAGAGGTGTGAGTCAGAATGCTAGAGTTTCCCCCAACCTTAGCATAGGGGAATAAGTATACATGTTGAGGGGAGTAGGAAATTGGGGGGCTCAGAGAATCCTAAAAGAACCGCCTCTTGCCCCTTGTTGGCCAATCAGAGCCTAGTCCTAGTGACCAGGCCCCTGGCTGGAGAGAAAAGCTGCTGAGGCAGGTTTGAGGGGCATCAGATGTGCCCACTGACTGCCCCCTCCCACAGTCTCTCGAACAGACTCAGACTCCAGACACCTCTTGTTCCATGCAGGACATTTAGACCTGTGTCCTGGGGGCAAACCTCAGTTTTCTTCTCATCCCATTCCAGCTATTCACCTCCCCTTCCCCTTGTCAGCCCCCCCCCACTCCCCCCACACCCGGTACACACAGTTGCTGCTTTGATGCCTGGGTGCTCAGGATAGCAGATAGGAAAGAGGTGGGATCAAAGGGGCAGGCACCCAGGTCATTTCAGCAAGTCCCCCCCTGCCCTCCCCCCCCCCCACCCAGCCACCAGAGCTGTTTGCTGACGCGGGGTTTTCAGAGCCAGGCGCCAGCCCGCGGGTGGCTCTCTGCAGGTGTCAATTTATTCCAGAGATGAGGACACAGGAATCCTTACCACACACACCCAGTCATGCCCTCCCCCTCTTCAGGTCCTCTTAAGCTCTTGTTCCCCCATCATCTGGAGGGGCTTGGGGCTGGCTCCCTCAGGATCTTCTCAGCCCATGCCAGTCTGGGCTCTGCTTCCAAGGCCATGCCGCCCCCTCCCCCTCCAACTAACATGGTCTGCTTCAGTCACCCCCTCTCCCTTATGGTAGTTTGGGCCCCTGGCCTCCTCCCTGCCAGCTTCTCTCCCTTCTTCACTCCCACTGAAGCCCTCCCCCCATCTCTCGCCTCTCCTTAGCGCTCCCTCTAAACATCTTTCCAGGCCTCTTCCAGCTTGCTCAGCCTCTTGCCTTCAGTCTCTCGCCCCTCAGTCTTTTTTCATCTCTTCTACATCTCCCTCCTGGTGTTTCTCATCTTTCTCTCTCCTTCAAATCCCTTCTCCAAATTTCTCCATCAAGACCCTTCTATCTCTCTCTGCCTTTTCCTATCTCCTTCTCCCCCATTTTCTCTCCCCTGCTCACCCCATCTCTGACTGCCACATCTTGCACCCCCCTCTTTCTCCCTAACCCTCTGTCTTGCTCTATCCATTCCTGCCCAAGCCTGACTCCTCCAACCGGGGAGAGTAGAGGGACGGGGGCTCAGGCCGCAGGCCCCCCCCCTTCCTGCAGTGGGGAAATGGCTTGGCCGGGAAGGGGAGAAGGAGGGGGAGGGGGAGATGGGAACACACGGGGTCTGTGGGCCCATTCAAAGGATCATTCATGGGCTGGAGAGAGGCAGAGACAAAGAGACCGAGACGCAGAGACACGGCGAGAGCATCCCTAGGCGGAGACACGCAGACAGAGCAGGCAGGGGAAAACCAGGCGCAAGGAGAGAGACAGAGAAAAGGGAGACCCCAGCGGACCGCCACGCAGCCCCCTCCACCCGGCCTCGCTCAGCTCCTACCTGGCTCAGCCCTGGGGCCGTGGTGCCTCCATCCAGGGCTCGGAGTAGGGGGCGGACGGGCTTCAGGAGGGGGGCGGCGGCCTCTGAGCCCCCGCGGCCCCACAGGCCCAGCCCCCGCCCGCAGCGCCTCACCCGGCGGGGGAGGGGGATTGCCCCAGCCCCGGGGGGCGGGGCCGGGATCCAGTCGATTCCCGGGGAAAGGAGAGGTAGGGGATGGGGTCAGGAGGAGCCCGGGAACAGGGATCCCCGCAGTGGGGACAGCGGAGCGAGGAGGAGGCAACGGGACAGGACTGAATTGGGGATCCACTGGCTCCGTGGACCAGCTTCGAAGGACCAGAGGTGGAGGATCCTACGGGATCGGGTGCGGGAGAAGGAGTCCACAGCAATCCCCAGGGGCCCGGAGCCCGGGAGCGCAGGATCCGCGGTGCAGGGGCAGAGATCCAGCCGGAATCCTCGGGGAGGGGGAGGGATCTAGTCGATCCCGAGGGCGGGCGGGAGGGGGAGGTCCAGGGAGTCAGAGGAGGGCGGGAGCCGAGTCTGGAGCCCCAGGGCGGGGGTCGGAACGGCTCTTAGGAGGGAAAGTGAGGGGAAGGGGAAGCTTCAGGGCATGCTCAGCAGCCGGGAGGCCCGGACTCCAGGCTCCGCGCTCCGGGGCCCGCCCGCCCCGCGTCCATCCCAGCCCGAGAGTGATGATCCGCCGGCGGAGCAGCCGCAGCAGCCCCGCGCGTCACCGCGCGGCCGCCTCCCCCGCCCCCTGCCGAGAGAGCGGCGCACACCCCTCGCTCTCCCCAGGCTGCCCGCCCGCCCTCCAGTGCGGGGGGATTGGAGACGGTGGAAGGGGCGGGAGTGGACAGACGGGAGGATGGACAGGAGGGTGGACGAAGCGCGCCGGGGCTGGGGAGAGACACGGCCTGCCCCCGCCCCCCCAGATCTCCCACCCGCCGGGCTCTCGAGGTGAGGTGGGGGCGCGGAGGGGTGAGCCGCGGGGCGGGGCATCAGATGGCGAAGGCGGGCCCTCGGGGCGGGGGGAGGAGCCGCCTGGGCAGTGGGCGGGACCTAGCGACGATGGGTGGGGCTTGGTGTCGGTTGGGCCGCCTCTATTCGGGAGTGGGTCTGGTTCAGCGCTGAAAGGGAGGAGCCTGTGGGGAAAGAGGCGGGACTTTGCGTGGGGATTTGGATCTTTGGAAATTGGCCGGAGGAAGGAGGGGGTTGTGAAAAGAGGCGATCAACTTGGAAAGTGGGCCAATCCGTGACGCAAATGCTCGGGTCCCGCCCTTCCAGTCCCGCCTCCCACGGCTCCGCTCTCTGCCTCTTAATTGGTTCTGGTTTCTCCGCCCGCCGGAGGTCTTCACCACTCATCTGAGGTTTTACAAAGGCGTAAGTGCCCGGCTGAGGACCTGGACGCTGGAATGAACAGGACCCGGATTGGGCACCTGTGGACCTCATTTGCATGGGCGGTCGCGATTGGCCGGCCTTTTGGGTGGCCTGGGCGGTGTTCGTTCCGCTCGTGACCATCTGCTGCCATGGCTGGGCCAGGGGCTACTTTCCGCCGCCTCGCCGCCGTGTCCGGAGCCGGGGCTGTAGGCTTGGCCGCCTACGGGGCGCACGGTCAGGGGGCTGGGGACGAAGCTGGGATTGTGCTTGGGGCGACCTTTGGGGTCTGGCGCAGGGGCGGAGTCTGTGGGTAGTGCGGGGCCTCGGGTGAACCAAACTGACCGCGGAGCCTTAACCTTTTAAAGTCCCTCAACCCGGTCCAATTGGCTCCCCAAACTGCCCGATGCTAGTGTCCACCAATCAGAAGCCTTCTAGGGGCTCCCTGTCTCGCCAATGTCCACTTGGGTTCCCCCGGGAGTGGGGGCGGCTGGAGCTAGCGCTAGGATTGCTAACCTTTACCTCTCTTTTCCACAGGGGCCCAGTTCCCTGATGCCTACGGGAAGGAGGTGAAGTAACTGCGCTGGGACTCCCCGACTGCAGGGTCTATTAGGGTCCAAAATTCTGGGGTCCCTGAAAGAAGTAGGGAAAGCGCCGGCGCAGGTCTTTGGAGCGGCCAGAGCTGCAAGCCTGAGGGAGGACTGGGACTTAGAGGTGGGGTTGTGGGGTGAAATTTTGTCTATTGTGTCCCCATGGGATTCAGGCTCTGTGTTGCTTGGAAAAACACCCCTTTTGTCTTTTGTCTTACAGCTCTTTTTCAAGGCCAACCAATACCACTTCTTACACAGCCTGGCCCTGTTAGGGGTGCCCCATTGCAGAAAACCCCTCTGGGTAATTTCCCCCTTACCTAACCCATATCAAGCCTGTCCCACTCCCTCACTGCTCTGTTCTTACTAGCCTGTATTTTGCCTTCTATCTATTTTTAGGCGGGATTACTGCTAACTTCTGGAACCACCTTATTTTGCACCAGCTTTTACTACTACGGTCTGAGTGGAGACCCCAGGATCCAGACTTTGGCCCCTGTGGGAGGAAGCCTGCTAATCTTGGGATGGCTTGCCTTGGCTCTTTGAGCTTCCTTTTGTTTAATTTCTGGGTAATTTTTTGAGTGTTGGCTCTGGGAGGGGATTGAAAGAGAAAGGCAAATAAAGAACTTTGTAGTATCTGTTCCTCTAACCTCTTGAAAGAGGAAGGGTAGGGATTTTCAAACTCTGAACTCCCTCCCTTCCCTAAGGGAGGGAATCAGTGAACCTCCAGCCTGAGGATTCAAATTGCTTCAAGTTACTTTTTATGAGGATCTTAACTGGTGGCCATAATATGCTTGAATAATGTTCATTCTTAGTGAAGACCTCCTTGGGGTCTTAGAATCAATACTCTGATAAACTTATCTTGTGGTTCTGATGCTCATTATAATTTGAAGATAACTATAGGGTAGCAGATTTTTGCCCTGTCATCCTACATATTTACTCACTCCATGAGTCAGAGTTTATTTTTTTTTTAAGATTTATTTTTATTGGGTTCTCCATGGTGGCGCAAAGGGTTAAGTCACAGCACTATGAAGCAGTCTGCAGCCACTGCAGCACGATTTCGATCCCTGGCCAAAGACGTGACCTACATGGCGCAGCAGACCTCTCCTGACTCGCCCGCTGCTCCCCTCAGCAGTGTATTTCAGTCAGTCTACCTGTTCTGCTCCCCACTCTGTCTCTTGTGAGTCCTTTCATCCCTCCTCCCTCACCTCTGGCCTGTACCCCAGTTTTTGAATGCATAAATAGATAAAAATAAATCCCTTAAAAAGATTTATTTTTATTTATTTATACATATAAGAACTGGGGTATAGGCCAGAGTTGGAGGGCAGGGGGATGAGCGGTGGTGGTGAGAGGATTCACCAGAGACAGAGTGGGGAGCAGAACAGGTGGATCTACTGAAATAACACTGCTGAGGGAAGCAGTGGGAGAGAAAGGAGAGGTCTGCTGTGCCACGTGTGTTTGCTCCCTTGCTGAGGATCAAACTCCTGGCAGTTGGCTGGAGATAGCTTTATAGCCCTGAGACTTTAATCCCTCCACGAGTCAGAGTTTAGGCAAAGCAGGACAGAAGGAGTGCCATTAAGTTGCAAAATACTTCTGGGTTCAAAGCAAGGCAGAAAATGCTTCATAGTGCTTGAGATGATCCTTAAAGGAGCTCTATTGTGTGGAGAAAACTGAACAAAGAGAAGGTGGGACAGAAGGTATGGAGCCACTGGAGTCTTTTTTTTTTATAATATTTATTTATACATACAAGAATTGGGGTACAGGCCAGAGCTGTGGGAGTTGAGAGGATTCACCAGAAAGAGTGGGGAGCAGAACAGGCAGATCTACTAAAATACACTGCTGAGGGGAGCAGCGGGTGAGTCAGGAGAGGTCTGCTGCGCCATGTGGGTAGCTCCCTGGCCGGGGATTGAACACATGCTGCAGAGGCTGTGGATAACTTCATAGGTTGTGTCTTAATCCATTGCGCCACCAAGGAGGCCCTCACTGGAGTCATAAGTGTGGGCTGAGTTTCTGAAACAGAAAAGGAAAAAAGGTGGCAAGGCACAGCATGTGGAGATCTGGAGGATATTTAGGGGGTATCATTTATTAAACCAGTTCTCATTTAGTGTTGATCCTGTGTCAGATATATTTCAAGGAAATTCATGAATAAGATGTGCAGTCTTTTGTGCAGTTTCCCATCTCATGTAGAAATGGAACTTAAACAGCTAAACACACAGGGCCTCCCTGGTGGCTCAGGGGTTAAAGTCTCAGTGCTATCAATCTATCACCAGCCACTGCTACATGAGTTCAATCCCCATCAAGGGAGCTAACCCACATGGTGCAGCACACCTCTCCTGTCTGGCCTGCTGCTCCCTTAGCAGTGTATTTCAGTAAATTTGCCTGTGTTGTTCCCCACTCTGTCTCTGGTGAATCCTCTCACCCCCTGCACCTCTGGCCTGTACCCCAGTTCTTGTATGCATAAAATAAATCTTGAAAAAAGACAGCTAAACACACAAATATATTATGATATGAGTTATGTGCTTGAGGGAAAGAATAGGGAGACAGTGGATGAATGAGACCGGGATATCCCTTCAGATAGAAATGCCTTGCAGAGGAGGTCCATTGAAGCTAGAGCTAAACATGCACAAAGTAGAAAATGTAAGCTTGGCAGAATGAATAGTTGGTAAAACAGACCAAAAAGGAGCAGTTTCAAAATCCTTGAGGCAGAAAAAATTTTGGAGAGCTGGAGAAAGCAGAGCCAGTGTGACTGACATGTGATCAGGGGGTCCAAGATGGCCAATGAAGACCTTAAAGTCAATGGTTAGACACTCAGAATTTATTTGCAGTGCAACAGTAAGGCATTCAAACATTTAAAATGAGAGTGCTGGGATCTGCTTTATTTCATTTAAAATATCTGGAGGGGTTTCTCTGGTGCCACAAGGGGTTAGGACGCAACCTATGAAGCTATCTGCAGCCACTGCAGCACAGTTCGATCCCTGGCCAGGGAGTTACCCACATGGCTCAGCAGACCTCTCCTGACTTGCCCACTGCTCCCCTCAGCAGTGTATTTCAGTCAGTCTGCCTGTTGTGTTCCCCACTCTGTCTCTGGCAAATCCTCTCACACTCCCCCACACCTTTGGCCTGTGCCACAGTTCTTATATACATAAATAAATAATTCTTAAAAAAATAAAAGATCTGGAGAACCCGGTGGTCTCCCTGGTGGCACAAGGGGTTAAATCTCAGTACTATGAAGTAATCCGCAGTCACTGCAGCAAGAGTTCGATCCCTGGCCAAGGAGGTGACCCACATGGCACAGCAGACCTCTCCTGTCTCACCTGCTGCTCCCCTCAGCACTGTATTTTTTTTTTTTTTAGAGTCAGGTTTTTTTTTTTTTTTTTTTTAAGATTTATTTATACAAGCACTGGGTACAGTCAGAAGCGCAGGAGGGTGAGAGGATTCACCAGAGCAAGAGTGGGGAGGAGAACAGGCAGACAGATGAAATACACTGCTGAGGGGTCCCTTCCCCGGTGATCAGACCGGTGAACCTCCGCTGCAGAGGCTGTGGGCAGCTTCGCAGCCCAGCGCTCAACCGCTGCGCCACCAGGGAAGGCCCCCCTCAGCACTGTATTTCAGTGTATTAAGTCTCTGAAAAATCCTCTCACCCCACACCTCTGGTCTACACCGAACCTCTTGTATGCATAAGTAAATAAATCTTTAAAAATAAATAAAAGATTGGGCCTCCCCGGTGGCGCAGCGGTTGAGCACTGGGTTGCGAAGCTGCCCGCGGCCTCGGCGGCGCCGGTTCGATCCCCGGCTGCTCCCCTGCCACCAGCGAGGGTCCCACATGGCGCGCAGACCTCTCCTGCCGCCCGCTGCTCCCCTCAGCAGTGTACTTCGGTCCTTCTGCCTGCTCTGCTTCCCGCTCTGGCTCTGGTGAATTCTCTCACCCTCCCGCACTTCTGACTGTACCCAGTGCATGTATAAACAAAAACAAACAAATAAATAAATAAAAATAAATAAACATGCCTCTATAAAAAAAAAAAATAAATAAATAAATAAAAGATCTGGAGAACCAGAGAAAGGCAACGATGACAACAGGGTGATCAGTGATGAGGCCACCAAAGAGGACCAAGTGTGAGACGTTGATAGTGGCTTGGCTTAGGGCAGTAGAGATGGTGAAAAGGGTGCAATTTGAAAATATTTTGAAGACAGTGCTGATAGGACTTGCTGATGGATTTGATGTAACAAGAAGGATCTCTGGTTTACACACTTGGTTAAACAGAGGTCAGTTTTGGCCTTGTTGCTTCTGAAATGCCCAGGAGACATTCAAGTGGAGGCACCAGGCAGATAGCTGGGGAGCCCAAGGAAGTTTCTGAGCTCAGGAGATAGATCGAGACTGAGATCTGCAACCAACTCTGGTCAATTTCTATCCCATCTCTTCCCCATGACATGAATCACGATGACCTCCTGGTTGCCAGACCCAGTGGATGATTTTCAAGCTCACCTTCCTCAGCCTCTTTGTAGCATTTGACACAGTTGGCCACAATGTCCTTAAAATACATCATATTGCTTTATGATAGCACTCCCCTATTTTTTTCTACCTCTGCGGCTGCTTTGCCAGCCTCTCTAGCAAGTTGAAATCAATGCTTTCCAATTTTTAATTAAAAAAATGTATTTTAATTTCATCCTTTTAAATTTGTAAATGCTTTAGAAAGTACATATCTATATATGTACTTCAATATATAGCACATGATAGTATATTAGAGGTACATACTTAGTTTTTCTGACTTCTACATATAAAAAAATTACATGCCATTTCTCTGAGGATTTTTATGTAACCTGTTCAGCTCCATATCTTTAAATACAATCTGCATACTTTTAAGTCCAGAATCTCTATTTCTCACCCTATACCTACGGAGCTCCAGACTCCTGTAGCAGCTGCACTGTAGTAGTGTTCAGGGTAGACAAGGGGGAGTTAGGTGATGAAGGAGAGGGGTGTGTTCCAGACCAAGGCAAGAGCTTTTGAGGCAACCCTGAAGCAAGAGAAAGCCCAGTGCATTTGAGACCTGAAATAATTCCTGGTGGCTGATTTGAAGATCAGAGGGTCAGTACTGAAAGATGAGGATAGTAGGGGCGAAGGGTCAAGTACCTGGAGCTGAGAGAGGTATAGCTTCAGAGAGCAATGGAGAACCACTGAAGCATACATATCAGGATAGGAGGCATGACTTCAGGTCTAGTAATAGACGGTTATAACATTCATTTTAAAGGCAAGTAAATAAGACTTCAGAGCACCCCAAGTACAAGTGGCAGAGCCATTAGTAGATTCCTGGAATTCTTAAAGTCCAGTAGTCTTGCTGCATGTCTATCCTTTATCTTAGGCAGCATCTGGAGCACAGGGAATTTTCAGGTTAAGCAGACCTCAGCATCTGGAATGACCACCTCCTACACCTTTGCTTTGGGCCTGCCAGTGGGCTGGGCTCTTGGGAAAGCAGACAAATAAGGCCTATTTGATATCTGGCCCCTGCTATTACTGCACATTGTGTCCAGTGTTCTCAGCAGTGTCCCTGCAAGTTAGTAGAAAATGAAACTAAGAGGTGAAGTAATCTTACAGGTAGCGCCTGGGTTAACTGTAATTCACACTCTTTTGTTCAGTTTCCAGAGATAAGTTCTTGTACCTACCATAAAACTCAGATTCTGATAGTGAAGACAGACCCTTTAAAAAGATCATTTGAGGGCCTCCCCGGTGGCGCAGTGGTTGAGCACTGGGTTGCGAAGCTGCCCGCAGCCTCTGCAGCGCCGGTTCGATCCCCGGCTGCTCCCTGGCCACTGGAGGAGGATCCCACATGGCGCACTGCTCCCCTCAGCAGTGTACTTCAGTCCTTCTGCCTGCTCTGCTCCCCGCTCTGGCTCTGGTGAATTCTCTCACCCTCCCGCGATTCTGACTGTACCCAGTGCTTGTATGTATAAATAAATAAATCAATCTTAAAAAAAATTAATGATTCTTATAAAAAAATAAAAATAAAAAGATCATTTGAGGGGCTTCCCAGGTGGCCTAGGGGTTAAGTGTCAGCACTATTACCCCTTCGGCCTGACTTCGATTCCGGGCCAGCCAGGAGCTACCCACCTGGCGCAACAGACCTCTCCTGCCAGGCCCGCTGGTCCCCTCAGCAGTGTATTTCAGTAGATCTGCCTGTTCTGCTCCCCACTCTCTCAGGTGAATCCTCTCACCCCACCCATGCCTGCACCTCTGCCTTACACCCCAGTTCTTGTATGCATAAATAAATCTTTAAAAAAAGATCATTTGATACAACATGTTCAGTGTTACAAGCAGATACTCAGTTTTGCCTCTGGGGATTATGAGATTTAGGTCCATTTGCTGGGTTTTTAGCATCAATTGTTCACCAGAAAAAAAGGGACATCATCATTCTGGTAATAAGTCAAAAGAGACAACAGGAATGGCTGGAGGTCAGGATGGAGTGGACCAGAAGGAAATGGGTAGAGCCTCACACTCTGAAGGGTTTCCCTGTTAAGCCTGGGTCAGTTTTGACTTTTCATTTCCTCACATCCTATATAAGAGCAGAGAGGCCTTTGTCTCAGGGCCTTTGCCCTTGTTCCCTTAGCCTGAAACACTTCACCTAGAAGTCTGTGTGACTTCTTTAGTACCTTCATCATCTCGGCCATGCTTTCCTAGTTCATCCTCTTCAAAACTGTAAAGAGTGCCTACCACTCTCTATCCTCCTCACTCTGGTTTATTTTTCTTCCTAGTGTTTGTCACCATCTAACTTTCGATGTACTTTCTTTTCCACCAGAATGTAAATAAACCCCAGAAGATCAGGAATTTTTGTTAATTAAAAAAATAAACTACTGTGTATTCCTATCCTATCACCTTAAATGCTGTTTGACATATAGTAGATACTAAAGCTTTGTCAACTGAATTTTGGAACATTTATGTCTCTTTGGTATATTTGCTAGTTCATGGTTTGGGCCATGTATAATCTGAGGTACTATGGGATCCCAGGGGAGAGGTTAGGCACTTGTGACTAAAGCTGTGGGAGTGGCTGATCAAGTCCAAGAAACATGGACATAGTGACAAAAGAATTCCCAAATCTGCTTCTCCCCATGCTATCTTGATGAGTGACACTTGGATTTGCCTGATTACGACAGGCACCTGGGGTCATGCAGTGGTCTCCTCACCTCCACATCTCACACCCCAACTATATTATTGTCTAAATATCTCCAAAATCTGCCACTTTTGCCTATCTGCACTATCATAATCATCCTTTCTCCCAGACTACTGCAAGCAATCCAGCCTGGCTGCTTTTTTGTTCTCCACGTTGCAGTTTTAATGGTCCAATTTAACACAAATTTAACCTTCTCCCTCAGCCTTAAAAATCTTTCAGTGGGCTTACAGCTTCCAGGAGCACTTGGGCCAGCCTCACTCTCTAAACTCTCTCGTCACTCATCCAATAGACTTCCAAGGCCCAGGACTTCTTCATGCTTGTGAACCGTAGCTCAGGACAGAACTAAGTGATTCTGACGGGAAGCGTTTCCTTCTGACCACGTTGCCTCTTCTGGCCCGCCCTGAGCCTCACTTCATTCACGCACGCATTACTGAGTTTGGTGTCCTGTCGTAGGCCTGCCTTGCTGGGGGGAAATGCAGGAAGCACTCTCATTGCAAGGCGTCTGTGTGGGTCACTGCTGCGTCAGGGCGGTAAGTGAAGGGAGCCAGGAGCCAGGCCTGGAAGGCAGTGAGTGCGAAGGGTGTTCCACTGCGTCAGCGAGGCCCCAACCGCCCTCGGAGGAGAAGCCTGGGGCCCTCCGGGGCGCCAGCGGCCCTATTTTCCCACCGAGGGGCACCAGGCACCCGGCGTCTGCAGACCGGGCAAACACAGGTCTCGGCCCTGCCTCACCCGGGGACGCTTTCTCCCCCGGCGCCCGACTCGGAGCGGAAGGGGCGGGGACGCCGGCGACGCGAAGGAGCGGGCGGCCCAGCCTCCGAGGGCCCGCCGGGGAGCCGGTATTCCTTCTGCGCAGGCGCGCCGCCTCGCTCGGGAGGGGCGGGCCTTGACGCGGCGAAGGGGTGGGGTCAGATCCAGGGCCCGCCCCCACAGGTCCCGGGCGCCGTCGTGGGCAGGGCACCCGGCTCTTCCAGGGGCTTCAGGTGAGCTGGGTGGGGAGACCGAAGGGATCAGAAGCCCTCTCTCGAGGGCGGGCGGTGCTCTGACCGCGGGTATACTGCCCAGTCTTCCGCCAGCTGCCGCCTCCGCGGAAAATGGGAAAACAAAGGGAGGGGGCGGTTCTGGGGCCCCGGTGGGACTCCAGGGTCCCAGGTAGCCCGCCCAGCCCGCTGACACTTTCGGTTTCTCCCCGAGTCAGAGGCGCCGCCCAAGAGACCCTGGGTCGGCGCCGGGCGCAGCTGCTTCGCGGCGTTTGCCTGTCTTTGTGTCTGTCTGTGTCTGTCTGGCTGTCTCCGGGCTTGCCTCCACTTCTAGAGCTCAGCCTGCTGGACACCGACATCCCGCGGGCCGGAGCCCCTTTCCCATGGCAGGTAAGTGGGTGCAAGGCCGAGGGTCTCCGTTATCCACCCCCCCAGCCCACCTCCGCCACGGATTTGGGATCCGGTGTGAAACACATTCTCGGAGAATGTGCTCCGACTGGCTGTGTGGGGCTCCTCCCTTCCTCCCGGGGAGCCGCCGCCCTGCTTCCCCGACCCATCATTCTCGGTCTCTTCCCATGACATTTGTGTCCCCTGGTTTCCCGATCCGCGTGCTGAAGGATAAGAGGATGAGGTTTCGGTTCTTTTCTTATCTATCCCTGTCCCTCCACAGGCTACTTACCCCCCAAAGGCTACGCCCCTTCACCCCCACCTCCCTATCCTGTAACCGCTGGGTATCCGGAGCCATCTCCGCATCCTGGGCCCGGGCCCGGGCAGGCGCCCATGCCCGCTCACGTGCCTGCCCCTGCCCCTGGTTTCGCTCTCTTTCCCTCACCGGGCCCTGGAGCTCCAGGGCCTGCTGCCCCCTTCTTGCCACTGCCTGGGGTGCCTTCCGGCCTGGAATTTCTGGTGCAGGTGAGTGGGAGAGAGGGAGGGAAGAGTGAAAGGAAGGGGGCCAGGGAGTTCAGGTCGGCCAACTGAAGTGGTCCCTGTCCCTGCTCTCGTTCCAGATTGATCAGATCTTAATTCATCAGAAAGCTGAGCGAGTAGAAAGTGAGTGGAAGGAGTAGGTTGGGCAGGCTGAAGGTGAGAGGGATAATGGATTCCCAGGCAGGTGTGGATGGGTATCTGAGCGTCTGTGTGTCACCCTTTGGCAGCATTCCTGGGCTGGGAGACATGTAACCTTTATGAACTGCGATCAGGGACTGGACAGCCCCTGGGTCAGGCAGCTGAGGAAAGCAACTGCTGTGCCCGCCTATGCTGTGGTGCCCGCCGACCACTGCGTGTCCGCCTGGTGGACCCTGGGGACAGAGAGATCCTGCGCCTGCTCCGCCCCCTCCACTGTGGCTGTAGCTGCTGCCCATGTGGCCTTCAGGAGGTAGGTGGGGAGGGACTGGGTCAAGGAGAGATTGGGGTAGAGGGCCTGATGCAATGGGGGTGGGACCTAGTGGGAGTGGGCAGATGGTATGCGAGATCTAGTTGAGAGGAATGACAGATTGTTAGTGAAGGGAACAGGTGTTCCGAAGGGAAATAAGTAATAGAGCTGGATTGGTGAGAGCTTGGGCCAGGGTACCCTGTTTGGGTGGTGACCCTGTCTGCTTCCCACTCCAGATGGAAGTACAGGCTCCACCCGGCACCACCATTGGCCATGTGCTGCAGACCTGGCATCCCTTCCTTCCCAAATTCTCCATCCAGGATGCGGATCGCCAGACTGTCCTGCGAGTGATAGGGCCCTGCTGGACCTGTGGCTGTGGCACAGACACCAACTTTGAGGTATCAGGAGTAGCAGAGGATTCCTGGGACCTTCATAAATCAAGATGTTTCATGAGGCAGGATGGTCAACACTAAGGTCAAGACCCTGAGTGTATCCATCCTAATCCTCTGTGACTCCCACCACATTTCCAGTTTTCCTCTATTCAGAAATAGGATGACCCACGGTCTTATAAAGGCAGGGTACAGAAAGTTTCATCTTAAGACTAATTCTGGTTGTTACCTGCAGTCCTATGTTGAGGGGGTAAAACATCTAAGGCTAACCTGGATTTAGGGTGAAAGATGATTATTGAGTCTGCTGTGGGCTGGGCCCATGTGGCTGCTATGCAAGAGTTTGGGACCCCAGGCCCTGGAGCAAGCACTAAAATAACTCGTCAACATCATGTGGCTTGCCCTGCCAATTTAGAATCTAAATGGCCCCTCCAACCAGAAATCCAGGTGAAATCCTTGTCACTGTGCCTCCTGTCACCAACCTGGAACCTGGACAACCTAAGAGGTGAGAGTTTCAGGGTGAGGCCTGGGACTCACCTTTGTTTCTAGAAGACAGAGACACTTCATAGACCCTTGAATTCTTTAAGGGTTAATTACCTGTGCAGATAAGGCAGAAAAAGGTATAATCCAGTAGACCTTCCCAGGCTACTGATGAGTTGCCCTACCTATGGTTACTTTTAAAACCTGAGTCACCTTTGTAGCTGGGAGGAAGTTCTCTGATGGGATCTGGATGAGAATATGTAGACTGTGGGGTTCTCATAGGGCCAGGCTCCCTTTTATGTAATTATAAATGGTCTATGTTTGGGGCTGCATGCTTGGGACTTCAGGGCTAGTTGGGAGAGGCCTTGTCTAGCCTGAGACTGATCTATAGGAAGTGCTGGAGAGCTGTTGGATGGTGGGGGAAGGGGTGGGAAGGACATCAAAGGGAATCACTGTAGTTCTAACCGCTGGAGAATGAGCCTAGGCGAGGGAATCACTATGAATTACCACCCACATCGCCAAGGCCTGTTGCTGCTGGACCCAAAGAGAGGCTGGTGAAGGCCACAGTTAACAGAGGCCATTTACTACTGCCCCCTCTCCCCACTAGATGGCCTTGGGTCCCCTCTAGCTGAGGCATATATGCAATGCTGGACAGGACCCTTCCTACTTTGCAGATTGGAAGAAAGGTCTGGCTTTGGGCAGACACAGGCTTCTAGGAACCTGGTTGGCCTGTAGACTGCAAACAGGCTTTTGGCAACCTCCTTTGCCCTCTTGGGCAACCTACTTTTTACGTGGCACAAACTGGACCAATGCAGTAATAGTAGGGACTTTGGTAACTAAAACCAACCTAGCAACTGTGTACTAAGGAAATTATGCCGCACTTCCAGTTCTCCCACCTGATGTTCAGTTACCAGGTATGACCTTTCAAGAACAACAGATCTGAGTCTGAATCCTGATTTCTGCTGTATACTTGTAGTGTGACCAAGGGTGCCTCAGTTTCCCCAGATGTCACATGGAATCCAGGGCTATAGGGAGGATTCACCAAGTATAGAGCCTGCAGTTCATACCTGGTGACTATGGGAAATTGGAAGGAGGTAAAGTAGCCATGTTCCCCACCAATTAGGTTCTTCCTTTCTTCCTCCCTCCCAACAGGTGAAAACTCCAGACGAATCCCGCAGTGTGGGCCGCATCAGCAAGCAGTGGGGAGGGCTGCTCCGAGAAGCCTTCACTGATGCAGATGACTTTGGCCTGCAGTTCCCACTAGATCTGGATGTGAGGGTGAAGGCTGTGCTGCTGGGAGCCACATTTCTCATTGTGAGTCAGCTGCCCCACCTTTCCTTCCTGGCCTCCTGGAGCTAGGGGAGTGTTAGTGTTTATGGGGGTTGCAGTTCCAGGCTGCCAGGCCAGATCTCCTGTTGACAGTGCCCTCCCCACAGGACTACATGTTCTTCGAGAAGCGAGGAAGTGTTGGGCCTTCTGCCATCACCAGTTAGAGACCACCTCCAGGGAGGAGACCATCGCCTCAACCAGATTCAAGATTGTTGCCTTCCCTGGCCTTACCCCTCCTCAGAGGCAGCCCCTTTCCTCCACGTATACTGCAAGGGACTGACAGGGATGCCTGAGGGCTGGGGGCCATGTGTCCCATCCCTACCTTACTCCCCTGGCCCCCTTCACCTATGGTCCCCACAGAGGGTATGTATGAAAGCCTTTCCCTGCTGCTTCCTTCCACTGTCTGGCAGTCCTTCAGCACACAAGCATATCGGCTTTCAAACTTTCCCAATTCCCTTCATCCCACCCCCTTCCAGGACCTCTGCTCCAAAGGATAGATACCTTTGGAATTCAGGGCTCTGTGGTTTTATGACAGGGCTGAAATGGGGAAGGGTAAGCCTCACCGAAGATGGCAGACACGGCCTCCCTTCCCTCACATCAGCTTGGCCAATTAATTCAGCCTGAGACCATGGCACTCTGAGGGAATCCCCCTTTCTCCAACAGCTGTAGGGCCTAATTAGGTCCCAGTGCCAACCTCCTCTTCCCCTTTCAGCCCTTCCTACAGCTGGTGCTTGCTGCAGCTTCCTGTGCCTTACTTAAACACCCCTTCCTTCCCTTGCCCCAGGAAGGAGGCTGCATCTTTGTATGATATATTCATATAAACTTTGTAACTTTTTGGACATTGGAAGATGTATGTCATAGGGGAGGGTAGAAAAAAAAAGAGCTGATATGGGAAAAGAACAAAGGGAAATATGACAGCTGAACTGGATGGGGGCCGGCCCATTTCATAATTCATGCTACCAAGACCATGTGTCCTTGAGTGTAAAAAAGCAACTTTCAATCACCCACAATAGTCCAGACCAGTCAAGGCATTTGGGCCATGTGCTCCAAGTCAGTAGGGCTGCTTCCCTCATCCACGATAGCTGCTCCCATGGAGTACAGTGGGGTAGCTGATGACAGTTCAGAAGGCCCATGATTTATTCTGGCCACCTGATCATTATCATTCTCTGTAGTGAGTAGAAGCTTCCTGTGTAAGTCCTCCTCCTGTTTGGGAATGTGGTGGGCAGAGTGGACTAGATCCTTCCATGATCCAGCCAAGGGAGCTTGAGCCCTCAGAGGCCATGGGGGAGGGTAGGAGGAGACACTCATCAAAGCCCAAACCTGGTCTCCTGTACCTGTCTATAGCAGGGCTTCCCCAGGTAAGAAGGTCTCCTTGTTAGGACCTTGCACCAGTTCTGTTTGGTCCCATGTGGCAGGGCCTTGAGGGGACAGGCTTTCCATACCGGTCCATGCTCAAGGGTGCAGAGTTCAGGGCCGGGCCAGAACATAGCGACTGGCAGCGGAGAGGTCCCACTGGTAATGCTCCAAGATGCGCCAGCAGTCAGCTCTGGACCTGCTACTCAGGTGAAAGAGCTGGTCCACCTGCGGAGGCAGAAGGGAGGGCAGTTGACTGTCAGAGGGCAGAGGTGAAAGAGAAGGGAACTTGAGAGAAGGGTGTCTGGCTTTACCTTGAGGATCCGGATGGCAGAAACCACATCCCCCCCAGTGGCTCTTAATGCTGCCTGGCACTCCTGGTGAGTGACTCCATGCACACTCCGCTCCATCTGCAGGGGACAAGGCCTCACTTAGGCCCCTACCTCAGCCTATAGCCCCTTCTGAACCCCAGGTCACTTCAGAGAGACCTCACCTCTATAATCCTTCTTTGTAACTCAGGGTCAGACAAGAGGCCTCCAGAGGGGCTGGTGACTTTGTTGGCTTTAGGTGCTCCCGTGGGCTGACTGTGGAGGGGTTCTCTTTTGGGCCAGGGAGGTCGTTCCCTGAAGGGCTGGCTGGGCTGACAAGAAGAGCCAGAGGCAAAGGGAGGACGGGCTGGCAGGCCTGGAGGTCCATGGGGCATAGCTCTGGCATGTCGAAGTTCAGGGGGGCTCGAACCACCCCCTGTGGGACGGGGTCCCAGGGACAGAACGGACTCCAAGCTCTTAGAAATGCCTGTGTAGTTGAGAAAGAAAAAACTTGAGAGGAAGCCCATGGTAGGCCCTGCCTACCTGTTCTGTCTGTGCTATCCTCAGGGTGGTCCTGTGCTGGGTAGGACAATAATACAGGGGTGTAGAATGAACACCTAGGACTGGGCAGCTGAGGGCCTGAAGACCTGAAAGCATAGCTGCTGCATGGAGAGATGCTGTTCAGTAGCCAAGGCAGATCTTAAATGTGTAGCTAGAGCAGGCTACTGGGAAAGGAACTGTGGGACAGGCACTATGCCAAGGCATGGATTTGGAGCAGGGGGCAAATTTGGGTATTGCTCTTGATCTCCTCTGCAGGCCCTGTCCCCACCACCGCACTCACCTTTCATCCTCTGCAGGGGCATGTTCCTTCTCTGACCCCGTGCAGGAGGTACATCCCGGAGCTTTGCCTTCACTCTGTCCCTGCTGGAGAGTGATCATTCATTCTCCATCGCACCCCTTCCATCCCACATATCTATATCCCTTCCCAAAGAATCCCTCTGGTGTCCCCAGGCAGTAGACCCAGTATGGAAGCTCCAGCTGGGAGGCAATCCAGGTACCCCACCAACTTCACTCCACTCCCCCACCCCAAGTTTTTCATCCAGAGAAGTTGCTGGACTTGGTTCCCCCAACCCAGCTCCATCCCCTACTCTTGCAGGTCCTCACCCATCTGTGCTTCCCCAATGTTGTTCTCCCTGGGCAGGAGAGCTTCTGTGGATAGGATGGGTGGCTGCTGAACCCCCTGAATCTGCCAGAGTTACTGCTGAGGCTGGGAAGCTGCCCACTTTGAATGTGCGACCATTCTGGCCCTTCCAGGTTGTGGAGTCAGGACTGTGGGAAGAGGCACTGGTGAGGTGTGGGAGCAAATATGGGGGGAATGGGAGCTGGCTCTGGCCCACATTCAGCTCACAAGCTGCATCTACCTGCAGGAAGGAAAGCCTTTCTCCCTAACACAAAAGGATCTTAAGGGAAAGGAGAGGAAGGGGGATGAGGAAGAAGATCAGGGTTCCAGAAGCTAGAGAGAAGAGAGGTCCAGGCTCAGAATGGCATGGGGCTCTCACCTGCCCTCAATAATGGTGATAGGATCACCAGGCTCCATCCTCAGGGCTCCTGGCTCTGTAACTTCCCTCACACAATGTCCCTCGGGAGGCCAGGCCTGTAGAGACAGGAGATAAGGTGGCTAGGTTTGTGGCCTGAGTCAGAAGGGCAATGTGTGGGAGCAGAGAAAAAAGAAGACTCCTCTCTTCATGAACCCACCAATCAAACCATACCAGGTGTTCTCAGTCCTGGGCCCAGAGTGGGAGTGTCCCTGTCCCCCAGCTGTAATCCAGTAAGGGAGGCACACCTGGATTCCATGCCAAGCTGGACCCAGCACAGGGGTCAGGGAGCAACAAAGTGGGGGGGGGGCTCCTGTCTCTACCTAGGGGGACCAAGGGGACAGTTGTTCTATAAACTGCATTTATTGCATACCCAGGCCCATCAAGCACCTTTCCATTTCTCCCCAGCCCCACTGCTTCAGCCCTCATCCAGGTCTCTTCATCTCACTTCTGCTTCACAGCCACTGTGGCTTACCTAGTTTTCCCATGCTCAGTATCATCCCTCCAATCCATTCTTGCACCACGCCAAAGCAATATAACATGCAGAGCTGGCTTATAATTCCCCTGCTCATAGCCTTCCATGGCGCCCAGGTGCCTTCCGAGTAAAGGCTAAACTCCTTTAACAGTAGAAGGTAGTGCTTTAGGAAAGAACTCAGAAGTCAAATTGGTTTAACTCCCAAATCCTCCACTTGCTATCTTTTTCTTTTTTTTTTTTAAGGTTTGTTTGTTTATGTATACAAGGACTGGGGTGTAGACCAGAGGTGGGGGCGGGGGAGGGGGCCAAGTGGGGGTGGTGGTGGTGAGAGGATTCACCAGAGTGCAGAACAGAACAGGCAGATCTACTGATATACACTGCTGAGGGGAGCAGTGGGCAAGACAGGAGAGGTCTGCTGCGCCATGTGGGTTGCTCCCTGGCCAGCCCAGGATCAGGATCAAACTCATGCTGCAGTGGCTGACAATAGCTTGATAGTGCTGTGTCTTAACCCCCTGAGCCACCAGGGAGGTCCCTGTCTGACTTTTGATAAGTCACTTAAACTGCCATTGCCCCATCTGTGCAATGGAGATAATAATGATCTCAATTGTGAGGATTAAATGAGTGAATAAGGGGCATCCCTGGTGATGCAAGGGGTTAAACACCACACTATGAGGCAATCCGCAGTCTCTGCAGCACTTTTCGATCCCTGGTCAGCTAAAGAGAAACCCACATGGCACAGCAGACCTCTCCTGTCTCGCCCAATGCTCCCCTCAGCAGTGTATTTCAGTCAGTCTGCCTGTTCTGTTCCCCACTCTGTCTCTGGTGAATCCTGTCACCCCCCGCATCTCTGGCCTTTACCCCAGCTCTTGTATGCATAAATGAATAAATCTTTTAAAAAAATAAATGAGTGAATAAGGATAGTGAAAGCACTTAGTAACACAGTACATTACACAGATCAGGTGTTCTACATGTTAGCTCTGGTTATTTATCATGCCTTACAAATCTCTCCACAGAGCAGCCCATGTGCACTGTTGCCATCTTAGTTATTGTATTTCCCCCTTCCTCATTGAAATTGGCCTCTGCCTGTCAAATACCCACTGCAATCTACTGCTCTTTGCTCCTCCTTCTTGGACCCAGCCCCAGTCCCCACCCCTCTGCCAGTATCTATGTAACCCCAAGCTGCCTCTCCAGGACTCTCCTGCCCTTCAGGTAAGGAAGGACTGATCTGATGTCTTTAAAGCTGGATCCTATATCCTAGCCCAGAAGTTGGTTTGTCTTGTGTGTGGAACCATGGGGGAGGGGATGAGGGAAGAAAGACTGAGTGTATATGAGGAAAGGGGTTCCCACCTCTTGGAGCAGCTCCTCCAGGCAGGAAAAGCTAGGACGATCAGCAGGGTGGGGGGCCCAGCAGCGTCTGGCAAGACCATAAAGGGCCCTGGAGCAGAGGGGAGGCCTAGGGAGGCGAGCTCGGTCCTTTTCCAGCCGCTGCAGGATGAGGTAGGGTGGGACCCCAGCCCAGGGCTCCTCGCCCCCAGAGAACATCTCCCACAGCGTCACCCCAAACATCCACACATCCGAGGCAGAAGAGAAGGCCCCGTGGCGCAGGCTCTCGGGAGCACACCTGCGGAAGCGGAGTTGACGGGCTTGCGTGAGTACCCCTGGAGCTCGTACAGGCCACGTAGTCCTTCCACGTGTAGTCCTTCCACGCTAGGTCGTCATTTACAAGTGATTCCGTTCCGGGGCACTCCTCCAGTCCCAGCCCCCTCCGCACTTCTAACGCCCTCCAGACCCCACCCCCACCCTCACAGCCCACCTGCAGGCCCCATGCCTCACCAAGCAAAGGGGATGGGGCGGGGCCCGCCCATGACGTAGCGGCCCTGGGAGCCGCGCAGCGGCCGCACCAGCCCGAAGTCCGCCACCTTGATCGTGCGCGGTGAAGCCAGCAGCAGGTTGCGCGTAGCGAGGTCTCGGTGCACCAGCCCACGGGCCCCCAGGTACGCCATGGCCCCGGCCAATTGCCGCAGGAAGAGGCAAAGCAGGGCCACGGGCAACGGGTGTGCAGGGGCCGGCGCCGTCAGACGGGCGTGCAGGGAGCCCAGTGGTGCCAGCTCCATCACCTGCCAGAGCATAGCACCGCATGGGTGAGCAGAAACTGGGCTCCACAGGACTCCACGCCCACCCTCTTGTTGCCCACTAGCCTCTGTCCTCTATGCCCCTGAGGTGGCCAGGGAGCCGGAGTCAGGGTCTGCTCACCATCTGCAGAGGCTGGCCCAGAACAAGGCCATGCAGACGCAGCACGTGTGGATGCTCCAAGTTCATCATGACTGACACCTCTCGAAGAAAGTCCCCCAGCTCTGTGCCCACAGGACCTTCTGGACCCACCCGAAGGGACTTGACAGCCACAGGGACCTGGAGAAACAGGGGAAACACTATCAGGCACCCTAGGGAACAGTTATGTGGGGGCCAGAACACAGAGGGCACACAGCGGGGGTGGGGGCACCTTGGACACTTACACTCTGGCCACTAGGCAGTGTCCACAGTCCTCGGTGCACTACACCAAAGCAGCCAGAACCCAGCAGCTCCCCTCTACACACAGCACCATCTGGGATCAGACACTTGAGTCCCCCCTCAGGCTCAGGGAGGGACACGGGGCTGTCTGAGATTGGAGTAGTCTCCTTCTGCTCAGGGGCAAAACCCCCAAGGATCTGAAATGGGTGGGAAATCAAGCATGAGGGACCCTCCATAGTCCTCGCCACACAGCCCACCCCATTCCTGGGTCTAAGCTGGTCCTCTAAGCCTCTCACCCCTGCCCCCAAACACATACCTTGTAGACCCAGTTCTTAGACTTGAGCCCTGAACGTTGTCTCTTCAGAGCCTCAACCAGTCTGCGCTGTGCTGGGGGAGACCAGAATCAGAGGGCTGGGGTAGTCTGGGGTGAGGGTGGATGGGGATGGGAGGGAGCAGGATGCAGAGGGATTTAGAGGCAAGAGGAGGGCTGGAGTGGAGAGCAGATGGTGATTAACAGGCTGGGGAAGGAGATCCCTCACCAGGCCGGCCCATGCCAATGCCATCCAGGTCCTCAGGCCTTACAAAGTCGAAATGTTCTGGTCGGGTGACATTCAGCTCCTCGAGGATGGGTCGGTAAAACTGGGCCAGCTGGAGGTCTCGGAGCAGCCTCAACAGCCATGGTGAGCCCGCCTCAGGAAGCATGTCTGGAGAAGAAACCCCTAAGGATGACATTCTCCACCAGACATAGCCCAGGGTAGGCTCCTGAGACACTCAGACAACAGGTATGTCACTAGACACTCAGGTGTAGGAGGGACATATCAGAACCAGGAAAATTCAAGTGTAACTTTTGACTCCTCAGAAACTTAACTACTGTAGGGCCTCCCTGGTGGCTCAAGGGGTTAAGACGCAACCTATGAAGCTGTCCGAGCCACCGCAGTATGAATTTGATCCCCCGCCAGGGAGCTACCCACATGGTGCAGCAGACCTCTCCTGACTTCCCCACTACTCCCCCCAGCAGTGTATTTCAGTCATTCTGCCTGTTCTATTCCCCACTCTGTCTCTGGTGAACCCTCTCACCCCCCACACCTCTGGCCTGTATCCCAGTTCTCAAATGCATAAATAAATAAATCTTAAAAAAAAAAAAAAGAAACTTAACTACTGTTGTCTCCTGGTGTCAAAGGGAGATTGGTTTCAGGATCCCATGGATACCAAAATCCACCAGTGCTCAAGTGCCTTATAGTTGGGCTGTCTACATTAGAGCCATCTGCATGAGAATCTGTGTTTCTGCATCTGCTGATTCAACCAAATGACATCCAAGATAGTTGAATCCATGAAGTGAAATCGAAGATAGAAAATAATCTGCATAGAAATGCAGATTCTGTTCAAATCTGCATGTTGTTCAAAAGTCAACTGCGTACCTGAGACACCTCCCCTTGACAGCCACATTTCCGTCTACCACATACACCATACCTGAGACTTACAGATGTGCACAAAGGTGTACTGCTGCTGTACCCAAATACATGGCCACACACACACACACACACACACCCCCTAGAGATATGCTGTAAACAATGCCTGAGATTCCCAGATACAAGTCCTCTCAAATTGGAGACATTTCAGTATGCCGTCATGAAGCGCCCAGGCTGACTGCCACACACCCTCTCCTGTGCGTGACTTGAGCTGGGGCAGTTCACTGTCTTCAACATAGACTGCCCCAGAGCCGAGATGCCAATGTACACACAAACACAAAGAAGACCTGAAGGTACAGTGTCCATAAACTTTGTTATGCAGGCCCACTCAGTCCAGAGACCCCAGGATCGTTGCCTCTTCTACACCCAAGCCAGCCACATTTGTGATCAGCAGTTAACTGCAGGCCACGCTAAGCTCAGGTACGGCCCATAGAGCCACCTAGGCTGCCAGGTGTACGTTCCAGTCCACACCCACCTGAGCGCAGCTCCAGGTTTGGCACTCTGCCCACACACCTGAGTCACTCAATCAAACTTGGCTTCAGGGAACTCCGCCAATCTTTATTCAATAAAGCTCTAGGTGGTCTGGATACTGCTCGCCTGCACACTCCTTTGCACACACCTAGACCCTTCCCTCCCACTCAGTTAAGCCAGGAGGGTCAGAGGACCCCAGGAGGAACCCAGAAGGAAACCACAGGTGAGCCAGGAGCGGGGCGGGGGCGGGGAAGGAGAAAGCCCGGGACTCTGGGATATCCAGAACGCCTGCAAGGTGAGAAGGTGCAGGACAGGAGAGAACGCAGAAGGGAAGGGCCGGGGAGGAGAAGGGAAGGGAGGCTAGCAAGTCAGCACC